TCTTGTGTGACCTGACGATGATCCCTGCGGGACTGGGATGTTGTCAGTGGAGTGATGTGCTGAAGTTACAGTTGAGATCGAGCAAGATTCGGCTCATTCGAGTTTTTCCTCAAAGTGTGCGTAAAATAAAAACCCTGTCTGCTCGTCACAGACTCAGTCAGTTGTGGAGGCTGTGTCTTTCTTGCAGGCAGCAACAGGTTCATGGACCCATAACCCACAGTACACTGCAACATGACATCATCAAGCCTCTAAAAATGAACTGCAACATCGATCCCTTGCAGGCTGACCTCCCATAAGTCAAATATAGACGATGTGGGACATGTGTTTGGATGGAAGTGTATATTTACCTGTCACCAGGAACTCAAGGACATGGCAGCAGTGAGGTTGTATCCAGCCCAAGAGTGGAGTGTTTTGGGGTGAAAATGAGTTGTAAAAGTGATAAATGGCCCACATTTCTCTAGCTGAGGAGCACTGGAGCTGGCACTGTGCTTTCAGCCAAACAGTTAATTGCTCAGCACAGTGAAGGCCCAACAAAATACTCGTAAAGCATCACCAAAAAAAAAAAAAAAAAAAAAAGTTTAGTCCAGTCAAGCTCTTCCTCTCTTCTCCCTCTTTTTCTTGCCTCCTCCGGGCTAAAATGCTGCTTCCATCCCTGCCCTCTGCAATTTCCCAGCACACAAATATTATGTTGCTAGTGGCAACAATTCAATAAAATAACCAATCACATCTGCTCTTTCAAATATTTCCAAAATTAAGCTGAGTCTGTACATAATGGAGGAGTCGTCTCATCTGTGCGTTAGGATTTCAAGCCAGGATTTATTGCGGTGTGATAAATGATCATAAGGCTTGTTTTGACAAATGCAAGGGTACTTCTGAATGAGAGCAGGGCTGGCGGAGTATGCAGGGCTGGATCCACTGTTATCAACTGGATTAGTGGCTCTGATTATGCCCTGTATTCAAGCTTCGCTCTCAGCACCAATCAAAACCTGTGGTCGATGCATCCCATAATAGCTACGCTCGTCTCCATGGTCACCGCCACCCCTGTACAGTAGCCCCACCTCCTCCTAAGTGCACTGTCATAATAACAAGCTTGCGACAGCTCTCATCAGGCAATCATGCTCACAAATAGAGGACAAGGGAAAGGGTGAGCCAGGGTTTGTTTTGGCTGAATCAGATTTTGTCTCCAGCCTCTTGCAACTAACCTTTTTCTCCCCCCGGACAACCTCCGCAGTCATATTTTCCTACCACACAGCTCTAATCTTTTAGAATGTCACTGGTGCTCATACCGCTTCTGTCTCTTCCTCCTCTACCTCTCCTCTACCCTGCTGTTCTCGTCACCCCCGCCCGTCCCCATGCTGGCCCTGGTACCTGTACCTGTGGATGTTACTGGGCCTCCTCTGGACCCTTGCTGAGAACAGGAGATGACACAGTTTCTGGGTCACTTCTGTCACAGTCCAAATGCCACTCAGGGGGGCTGACCTTTTCCGGTTGCCGATGCTAGAGCAGGCAGCCTCCATGCACGGCTGTCACCCCTGTGGTTCCAACCACAAACGCACGCTCCCACCATTTCACCGACAGACCTTTTTTTTTTTCCTGCAAACTCCCCTCGCTCCTCTATTCACCTCCTCCTTTTTTATTCTGTGACAATACATGTTAAAACAATGTAAATGAATTAAAGCTGACAAACAAAAATAGCCACTGTAAAATATGGTCGATGCATGACATCTTGGCTAAACTCAGGACCATCACACAGGCCTCGGCGATGGCCACAAGCACATGGTGTATCAGGTCTCACTGGAAGGAACTCCAAATATGCCTCCTGGATTTATCTGAAGGCGTGGGTTACACAACGAGCGCCACTGTTTTTACAAATGGGAGCTTGGCTCTAAATGAAATACCTCAATTAGCAAGAAGCCCAGTCAACACCTTTCTCTTTAACATAGTATACCATCTAAGATATTTAGGTTTCCACTGCCAAGCTGTTTCTTTTAACAGAAAGTGACTTAAGTTGCTCATTTAGGGCTGTCAAAAATGGGAGATTTCAATGGCCGGGCCCTGGGTGCATGTGATCCGATGTCACATCAGTGTCAGGAGTGATTTTTGCAGGGTGTTCAGAGTAATTTTATTTTTTTTTTTTAAGCTCTCGGCTTGTCCCGCACTACCGGTGACTCATACATCACTAAACTACACTAGCCCCCCCCCACCCCTCTGAGTGGATTAGTGTGTCATAGTTGTTCAGTTTTCCTCAAACATACCATCTGCCCTCCATCCTGTCAATCAAACATCCACTGCTTTGCCATTTAAAATCCCCCAGACCATTTTTCTCATGATCCATTGTTGTTTTTAAATAACAGCCTCTGATTAGCAGGCTGAGCTTCCTAAAAATAAAAACGAAATCTCTGCGTATCTACTTCAGCTCAGGGCAGAGAGGCTGCTTTTTTCCCAGTGCTGTTATTCAAGCCCTCTCTAAAAAAAAAATTAAAAAAAATCCTTTTTTAATTTCAAACTGGCTGCTCTGACTCTTCCAGGAGAACTTTTATTTATTTCCACCCTGTGATGTCTTGCTGGCTGAGGGAGGCTGAGAGGATCCCTACTAAAAGCACTATGCTGCCTCGGGCAGAAACAGGCCAGAGCTCTCTTCACATAAATAACACAGGAGCGTGGAGGAAGTCCGTTTGGTGGTCTGCTGGAGGGATAGAACCTACCCATCAGTCTGTCTCTGGTTCTGTCCTTCTTTCTCATTCTCTGCGTCTCAGTGGTCTATCTAGCAGCTTGGCTGAAGAGGCATAAAACAGCAGGGTCCTGAAGAGATTGGGCCAAGATGTACATCTGAGTGGATAGTGGACTTACAATAGCCTGCAGGCCCAGGCCAGACAGAGTGGATGCTGTGAACTGCATCAAACTAATCTGACACATGGGAGTCACAGATTTAAGAATTGTAACCAATATTACAACGCTGAATAAAATGTGTAACTAAATCGTTTTGCATGTAGTTTCTTGGCACTATTGGAATAGGAAAAAAACATGATTAATAATATGCTTTCAATTTTTTCTCCTTCGCACAAAATTGATTATCAGTAATCCTCATATATTACTGTAAGTCAAAAATTTCCTTTAATGAAAAAATACTGTATTCTTGTGCTTGCTGGTGGATGCCTCTTGAGGATCAAATTTCTCCAGCACACTGGTGTTCCTGGCCCCAGGAAACGACCTCTCCAAACTGGCCTTATTTGGAGAGCACTCGAGTGCCCCATTGTTGTCACAATAACAATGAATCTAAAACGAGCTGAGAGACAAGGGCAAGGAAAACACAAAATAAAGATGTCTGGCTCTTAAAAATCATCAGATGGAAGTTTTTTTTCTTCTATATTTGCACTAACATCATGGAAATATCAGCTGACGCCGATGTCAGCCTGCGCCTTTGAAGTAGATTTAAAAAAAGCTGTATTTAGTTTGCATTGTGTGCGGAACCTAATTTATAGGAGTTGACCCTGGCTCCTCTTTTGTGCGACAGCCATCTTGGAAAACAATGGCAGGAAGGCTTGAAACTTGAGAGGAACTGAATCTGCTGTTTTCCATTTTTTTCTGTTCGTATTCAACAGAGAATTTTCCCTCCCCGAGTAAAATAGCCCTGTTTTTGTGTCCAACAGGAGCCATAAACTGATGTCTAAGCATTCCATGGCCAGGCAATAGGGCTGAGTTTAACTGGACACATGGGGACAGTTGTTTTGTACCACATGGAGCAGGGGGCCTGACAGAGGAAGCCATGGCCGCCTGGTGACCTCGCAGTGACCCACTGGCCTCCTCATGGAGGGATCAAGGCCTAGATGGGAGCCGGCTGAGGGTTAGAGGTTTAAGGGTAACAAATCAAGCAACACTTTAGTGGTATTTAACCCCCGCATACCATATCTCTCTAACTGCGTGCATAACTGTGCAGAACAAACATAGAAACACTTATTTTTATTTTATATGGGAGAGTTCTCTTTAGTAACAGAAGCAGAGTGGCTCAGGTTTAGGAAAGATAAAACTGCAGAGAAGACAAGGACAACATAATTTCATTCATATTTCACTATACCGCTTTGATTCATCTCTCTGCAGGACAATAGGTGAGCGCTGATGGTCAGCTACGAAGCCTCTGTACTAAATGATCGGTGATATTGTGAAACAAATTCCCTTCTTTACTCAGTTTCAATACCAACAGTTAGGGGGCACAATACATGTGTAAAATGATCCCCTCTTATTGTGCGATGCATTCTCAGAGGTGGTGGCAGGTTCCTCACCCTTTCACTTTCTTTCCTCTTATCGTTTTTTGTGCCATAAAGAAGAGGACACGACAGGGACCTCCTATAGGCAGTGCATATCTGCCTCTAAAAGCATCACTCAACTTTATGTTCACTTCTGGTTCCCCTAGACGGGCTGTGTTTCTTCCATTGGTGTCTCCTCATAAAAGGTCCTGGGGTTGTAAAGATGTGCAACAGACAACTCCTGGATAGACACACACCTTTACATGGAAATCAGGTGTTTATACGTACCTGTAGGCACTCACATTGCTTAAATTAAAGAAGTATAATACGGATATAAAGTGTATGGTGTTAATATTCATGACTAGAACATATTTAAAATAATTTATCAAAACTTAATTATTAATAATAAACACATTTATAAAATCGCACTGTACAGTAACATCACAGGGTAAAATGTGGCATAGAACATGACAAGGACTGAACGTTTCTTTTTACAATCTTCCAGTGCACTCTTTGAGGCGACATACAAACCTTATTCATTAGCATTTTATTTGACTGTGACCCCAGCTCTTTGGCTCAAATATAGATATTCAGTACAGACGTTAGGCTAATAAATACCCTTGTGAACTATGATCACTGCTAAAACGATAAGTCGCAGTTAATAGAGAGAATTGATAGTTTTGTAAAATTGGGATTGGCACTTTTTGTGATTTTCTGTTGTTTTGTATTTTGAAGAATTAAAACATATTCAGTTAATCAAATTGAACACTTTAATCAAGACAATAAGTATAAGGAGAAAACCAGAAATATGTTGTGATATTCTTACTGCATTAGCACATCAGGTTAATGGGAGCCTTGTGAGAAACTGGATCCAAAATGTGAAGATTTATAATGAATTTATTATAGTTAATTAAGATAATTCACACTATAGAAGCAGACACAATGTGTTGATAATAATTCTGTGATGGAATTTAGTTGCGGTTTGAACCCTTGCTTCAACCCACTGTGGTCAAAAAAATAAGAAATAGAAAAAGTGAAAAAAGGTCACAATGAGACCAGCTTTAATCAGAAATGATCCTGTTTACCCGCTTGGAGAGTGACTGAGAGGGCACTGAGTGACGCAGGTGAGAGCCAGGCGTCCACCCAGCCCCCAGACTGCACCTCTCTTATCTGCCGATGGAGCAGAGGAGGAAGGAGTGACAAAGGCCAGGGCTTTGGGTGTGATAAGGAAGGGCCATATGTCCTGCTTTGGCCCTAGCTCTCACCCTGGCCGTCCGTTGCGAGAGGCCATCCAGGGGCCAGGAGCTGACCACAACCAGGAAAGCCTCCAAGACGGTGTTATCACACACAGGTATGAATTTGACCCTGTGCTGTCAGATATACAGAATGCTTGTGTGTATTTATATGTGGTAGCTTTGGGGCAGTGAAACAGAGAGGGTGGAAGAGAGGGAGAGACAGACAGAGACAAAGGGTCAGGTGGAGTTCAGGGCAGATTTTTTGCCAGAAGTCTCACACTGCAGGAAAGCCAAATTGCTTCCGGATCTAGGTATCCACCCTTGTTTCTACCCTTCCCGCCTCCTCGTCTTCCGCTCTCTTTCCTTCCATTCATCCTTCCATCTTAAGTTTTTTTTTGTTTTTTTGCTCCACTCCTCATCTTTCATCACTCTTTGTCTTTATTCTGGCTCTTGTGGCAGTCGGTCCTGCTGGGCAGCATGGCACAGGGTGACAATGTCTGTAGGGAAGCAGTCTTTGAGCAGGATGCCTCTGTCTCTCTGGCAGTCCAGCTCTCCTATGAAACCATACCAGTAGATCACAAGGCCTGGACCAAACCTGTGGTGCGAAACAAAAGAAACAAAGACGGTCTTTTGTCAGTACATCACTGCTGTCATCTCGGAGAGTTCTGAAGTGGCTATGAATGAATTCTACCATTGCTTTTATATTCATATCTGCCAAATGCTTACAGCTGTTGACTTTGGATTTGGGAGGCATAACAAAAAAATCTGGAATAAGCAAGTAAAGAGATAGAAAGATGGGACACCAGTGAGATTGATCTATAAGAGATAAGGTCGCTTAGGTATTTTTTCTTTGATCACATTCCAGGAAACTCAAGTTGAATCAAACAAAAAAGCCGCCAGGAAGATTAAAATCTCTCTGACAGGGTGATACACACTTGATCACATTACAATGGCAGTGAAATAACAATAATCTGTTAAATAACAAAGCTCTACACACCAAGGCCTCCGCATCCTGTCATCGGAAGCCTTTGGCACATAGCAGAGCACACAGAGTTCAACACAAAGTCTGAGACTTAAACACACTGCATCTGGTGGTTAATGTTAGCCAATCCAACAGTGTCCAGCTGTTTCATTCACATTCACTTTGAAAGCCAGAGCAACTTTGCCTTAGTTGGCGAGCACTGCAGTTACTAAAAGCTATAAATAATGACTTGCCAAGCAACTGAGAAGTCCAGACTATTTAAACATAAGGTGTTTTTTCTCCTTACCTCTATCTTTTTTTTTCTCTTCCCTCTCATCCTTTTGTTGCTATTGTGTCTTATAGACACTGTAGCTACTGTACACCTGAAGGTCTGCTGAAAGGTGCAGAAACAATTAAAATGGAGGAGTTCTTTGCAGGGAATGTGCAACGTTATTTCACTACTTCTCCTCACAAAAGGCAATAAATCATCTTTCAAGCTATTTATTATGCCCCAAAGAGCCACCAGTGGCCCCTCTCTGCCTCATATAGATCATACCTATTCTTTGAACATTAGCTGCCATGCATAAAGACATGTCACAGTTGAACTCTGAACGGAGAGCACCTCAGCCCCCACATGCAAGACCAGATTCAAGGGGTTGACAGTGCTCCGGTCCCAGACACTCTATCCTCAGACAGTTAACAATGTTGTGGGGCCTCTGGAGACCTAGACAGGAAGCTAGCCAAAGGGCCACGGAGAGCAACAGAAGTTCAGCTCCAAGGTAAAGTGCATAAAACCTTGAACCTGTGATCAATCATTTCATATTAAAATACGAACTCAAACACCCTATGGTGTTATTTTAATAATAAGAATGGGAATCTTAACTCTTTTGTATGGTTATAATTTATGAGCATATTATGAATACCTAGATGGTTGACCTTACAACTTCAACAAGGTATTTTAACCACATAAATTATAAATGCAAGTTCACAGCTATATGCGTATTGCACTGTGTTGACTGGGCCTTGAGGCAGTGCATGTTCTACATACACTACCTGTATGGAGACACATGCATGGAATAATATGTGACTGTACACCCCTCCCTCCAAGAGGCCCTTGCAGCGGTACATGCTTCTGCACCCCATCCCCGCATTCTACGTTTTACAGTGTGTGATTTACGGTGCTGTATCTATGAGCAAACAGGCCAAAGCTAACAGCCCTGGAGAAAGCCCACAGATGCACACTGAAAGTTCACCACAATGTCACACACATAGCTCAGCCTCTCAACACTGCACAAAGCTCAAGCCCCCAAACTCTCATCGTTTCCATGGTCCGCCGCTGCACATGGCCGCCAACTCTTAATATGGAAATGTTATGGAAACAAAACCTAAACATTTACATTAGATGACTTTGGAAATGGGGTTATGCTCTTCTTTTTATTCAGCCGCTGTGCTGTATGCATTTCCTGTGCTCTGGATGGGGAGGTGAGACTGAAAAGGGGAGAAAAAGGGAGACCAGTCTGCTCAGAGTGGAGAGAGGCAACCTTCTGAAAAGGTTAAAACTGTACATCAACAGATAAGGCAGCGGTGTACGATACATCATGTCCCGGGTCTGTCAGGGGAGGCCGAGCACAAATTGAAACAAGCAAAATTATAAACACAGGGGAGCCATGTCACCAAGGCCTTTCCATACCGTAAAGAAAATAAATGGACTTTGAATCCCACTCAGAATTAATACAAGTCAATACTACAGGGACCTTGAGGTAAAAACCTGAGACTGGGAATACAAACAATAACAGTGAGGGGGAAGGGAACGGTCAGGGGGCCAAGACTGAGCCTGATGGCTACAGTATGAGATTCCTAAGAAAAAGTTCCAAGCAGCTTCCAGACACCGTAAAGAGCAATTATAAACATTCAGTATATGACCCCCATACTACTATACAATACTTCTGAAGTTTGTGTGTTTTAATTCCTGTGGAAGTGAATGAAAGTTCAGTTTGAATTTGTTGGCAAATTATGGTTTATTATGTGGGCTGCCTCATTTTAACCTGGTGTGTGCTTATTACACACACACCACCTCTAACTCAGAGTCAGCCATCTTCCAATAAACACCTAACTATGTAACGAGTTGGTGAAATTGTTTGTGAAATGTAGCTAATTTCAGCGAGGGGCCCACTTGACGAGCCTGGGCGTGGATTGCGGCTGCCAGCCACGCTTTCGTTAGTGTTAATGAGCGGGTGGTGGTCGCATTTAAAGCAGGTGCCAAGCAGCTTACTACGGCAGCTTAATGAGAGCAAAGACACTCAGGAACAAAAACCCCTCGAATGGAGGAGAGGGAGTGTTATTAGTGTCTGCCTACACACACACACACACACACACACACACACACACACACACACACACACACACACACACACACACACACACACACACACACACACACACACAGCGAGTCAATGCAGGCGAGCCACACACAGATCTGAGCACTGAATAAAATCTCATCTTAAATGCACAACCCACACACACACACACACACACAAACACACACACACACAAACACACACACACACACACACACACACACACACACACACACACACACACACACACACACACACACACACACACACACACACACACACACACACACACACACACACACACACACACACACACACACACACACACACACACACACACACACACAGCAATAGTAAAAATATGAACTGTAAAAGCTAAAAAAAAAAACCACAATAAAATACAAACTGTACCTTTCAAAGAATGTGCAAACTTGCTTTCTTGATGTTATTTATGCCCTTCTCATTTTCTGAGAAGTCTGAGGTTACTGAAGGTCAGACAGCACGCTCCCCCTTTACCCAACACACAGATCAAGGCTAATTTGATCTGCCACATTTGGTGAGAAAAAGCTTAACTAAAACTGGGGGCTGCCAAAACACATTACACGACATGATGAATTATCAATAAAATCAAGATGAATTTACGCTTGACTTTAAAACACCATCACTTTATTTTACATACCCCGCAGATCCATTTTAAACAAACGCCCCGGCAATAATTTAGACAGCATAAGCCTCTACCTGAGGGTGAACTCTGTGTCTCTGAGGTCTCCCCACAAAGACCTCTTTGTTTTCAGCATCCATACATCAGGTCACAAGGTAGGCCGACTAAAGCGCTGCCAAACATTAGCTTTAGACGGTCTTTTCTCTGCTCCCTGAAATGCAGGTATGGTCTGTGTTGGAGACAGAACTATGTACATAGCAAAACACAGAGATAAAATGTGTGTATTAGTGACAAATGGCTTGTTCTTTCATGGTCAGTCCATGCTACAGGCGGCTGTCTATAGGAGTTTACTTACAGGGTCAGATAATGGTTGTGTGATGTGTTTGTATGTGTGGAGTTTTAGAAGGGGGGGGGCAGTGACCCAGAGCCTGCATGTCAGGTGATATGGCCCTGCAGCTGATCACTGTACATCCAGCTTGTGTATTTTAATGGCCTCGCAGTAGCTGTTTGTAGCAAGTCAGCCAGCCTGACAATGACGACGCCCTGATAACACAAGCTTTCGTGCACACAAATAGGATATTTAAAGGCTGGCTCTGCCCGGAGGGGGCGTCGCACAAACAGGGAGGTAAATAATCCCTTGCTACAAACTATACATCCACCTGTCCATACATAACAGGAGTTGAATGGGAGAGTTAACCTCCCACAGAGTTATTAACATGACTAGAGCTAAGAATAGAACACCTTATTTTCTCTCTCCACCACCCCTTTCGTCTTTGTGGGCAAGGAAAAGTTCAATTCTGCTCAGGTATGTAAAACACAAATACAAGGCAGCAGTGGCACACAATCGTTTGTTAAATGAGTCGGCCCAAACCTCCACAAGCATCGTAATTAAGGTGGAATAGAGGGCAATAAAAAATAAAACATCTTCCGCCAGGTGTAATTCTCTCCGACATTTTTATGTTTTCTGTCGATGGGGTATGGAAATGGAACGTGACGTGGATGCGGTTTGTCTTTGTCGCTGTTGGAGGTAGAGAGGGTGTTTTATGTGTATGTATGTTTGTGTAGTGCAGTGTTAGGTTTAACATGGAGGTGTGGAGGTGTAATGTGTGAGTATGAAGGGTGTGGGAGGTCAGGTCAAGTCAGTATGTTGTGAGCTGTATGTGGCACTAGGAGCTCTAATTTACGCTTACTGATGTGAGATACCCGAACAGAAACTGGAGGATTCCACTGCTTTATCTGGTAACCTTGGCAACCACTGTAACCTCTGAGGCAGGACATGTTCTCAGCTCTCTGACCCACCACAAAATTGGTCCACGCTCAACATCATCTACCTTTAGCTCAGGAACACTATGATACACTTAAAAATACATAATACAGCGGTAATACCATCCAAACTCATAAAAATATTATTTTTTTTAAACAAAGGTCTACCTGTCAAATAGGGCTATGAGATACTGACTAAAAGAAATAGGCAACAATGACATTTTGTTTCTGTGTACCTGTGTATCTATATAATAAAATATTTGGGAGTTGACCATTGGTGCTTTCACAAGACAATGCATTTAAATCTGTGGCTAAATAGAACAATTGTTTTACATGCACTAAAGAAGAATACA